GCTCAGAGCCGCAGCGACGCACGGCGAGGGGGCTACACATTCTACGCTATATGTGCTGGGAAGTTTCAGTCCTGGTGGGCCCTTTTCTCTCTTACTCTGCTATTTCTTCTGTCTGCAAGGTTCTACGAGTATCCCTCACTCCATAGAATCCTTTGTCATCTACCTATTCCTTTCACAACATCACGAGGTATATTTATATTTCTATACATTACCTATAGAGACAGCGAATGCGTAACTACAGTCGCTCATGAGCCAGACTTGTGATTTCAGTCACGAAAAGTGACGGCCAAATGAAATCCGTGACGGCCGACTGACAAACTGTTACCAAACGTACCAAACAGAGACAGTGTGACGGAGCCACGAAGTGACGGTTGATTGTGTGACGGACGTGACGAACGAGAATGCCACTTTCGCCGCCGTCGTGATGCCAATCAGCGGCTTAACCAGAAATAAATATTTAAGCTTCATCACGCCTAGCACTTAAACATTGTTATTGATATCCACCGTAACAGTGTGGTAACTCATTGGCAACGAATGGCAATGAGTTCTATCACAGACCTCGCACCAACTCAGTGCAGAAGCCACGGATCATAATTAGCCACTATATGCAGCGCCATGGTCTGAAGACCTCCACTGACAATCCACCTACATCCCAAGGACGGTCGTCTTCAGTACGCACGCCCTCGGACGTCAAACAGTCCACATGAGGGAGGGACGCTCCTCGGCACCTCTGACCAACACCTGTTCTGACAGGGGAGTCAACATGTCACCGCGCTGAGTGGACGGGTGGTGACACCGAGCACAGCTCCAGTCGAGGTCAAATGAGGACCGGAGGCGACGGCTGGCCACTCGAGGTGTGAGTAATGACATGGAGAGGGGGCTTGCCGTCAACTAAAGTAGCATGCAAATGAACGCATCTAGGATGCAGTTTTCGTTTGTAAACCACGTAATTTCAATTGAAGACCGCGTCGTTTTTATGCACCCCAGCAATGACACGACCTTTCATCTTTAAACATCCCCTAGCCTTGACCTGTAATGACGTCATGGACCTCCTCCCTCCCCCTATCCGCCCCCGAATCACAAAATGGTACCGGACGACAAGGAAGCCTCCCGCTCGTTCATGTATCATCCCCGATACCCATCGCCCCGCGGGCGCCGTCGCGGTCACAGTATCTCCGCCGCGGGGGTGCCAGCGGCGCCGAGCGCCGGCACGCACCCACCTTTCACAGGGAACAATCGAACAAAGGGTTTGCCAAGGTCCTATGGAAACGAGACCGAGTCCATTGCGACACTGACCCGGTCAAATTAAAACCGGCGGTAAAATGGCTAATTCCACTGCTGTCAGCGTCCGTAATAATGCCGGGAGAGACACCCGTCATAGACAAAACACTCGTCATAGTTCAGCAGGGATGACTACAGCGAGCCAACGCTACTTGGCATGCCACTAGAGCGGCTAATTTCAGACACGAACGCGCACGACAAAAGTCCGGCGAGCGATAAGAATCTCCCGGTGTAACAGGGCACATGAGTCGGCCAATCAGACGGTCGCGATAATTTCAATGAGCGGGTCTGTATTCAGGGCGGGACTGGCGCCTGGGGCAGGGAGGTATTGGGTCAGCCTGTCGTTCAGTGGCTCCATGACGGTCCACAAATCATCAGCTCTATCTCAGATTATATCGGCCGTCCGTCATACAGGAGCACACTGTGATATAAACGGAAACAGGGAGCGAATGGAACATGGATAAACGGAAGGGAAGACAGAACACGGAACATGGACAGGACAAGTTACGCTTAAAACAAATACGGGAAGAAGGAAACGAGCAAGATGAGTGGAATGGGAAGCATACCCGGGACAATATTATAAACAGAAGCACGACCAGTGAGAAAAGGCAAGGACGGTATACGACAATCCATCAGCCCTGTCATAGCTCGGTCAGGGCAGACGTGACGGAAAGGTCTCCCTCCCTCCTCTTTCCGGACAGAGCACTGGGAGATGAAGCCCCCCTTATCTACCTCCCTCGAGCGACACGACCTCTTTGATATTATCTCGGTATTCCAGGTCCGTGAACTGTGAAATGGATTGATAGCATGCATCCACACACGCCTTGACAGCTTATAACGAGCAGTGGCCAACTCGAAGCGCCAATGGAGTAAGCAATGAACTCAAGTGCGTGAAAGGCATCGTCATCTGGACTGGGTGGGATTTCTTTCTGATTATCCAGCCCTTGCCAACTAGCTCGTCAGCATTGGAAAGTGGCAGCCAAGTAGCGAGAAGGCTTGTTATCTGCCCGTGCAGATGTCTGAGATACTATATAGCTAAGATACTCCACTTTGAAGACGTGACGGTGCGACTTTTCCTCACGCCTTCATTCATCATTACCATAGTTAGAAACAGACTCGGGCTCAGAATCTAATGGCTATTCATTATCATAACAAACCGAGCTAGCACATAACCATAAATAAAGCCTATCGTCCGATAGAAACTGACACGAAAATATGACCATTTAGAACAAGATGGCCTCTAGATAGTTATCATTCAACACTCAATAAATCGTTACAGAGGCTCTAGCAGATAATTACGTTGCAAATCATGCCTATCTGTCGATGATCGCCACAGCGGCAGCGGTGTTACTTTCGAAGAGCGTAGGAGCTCATTGAGAAGATGTTCGCGGAATTACAGACGGGATCAGGCTGGGTTGAGTGTAGTGTTGCCACGGGCAGCAAAAGGGCAAAGCGCGAAGTCATAAGATAAGTGACAGGTTTTTGAAGGTAGCTCGGAGAGTGGTTATAGAACCTGTGTTATCGCCAATCGCTAATACATATCACTATCAAAGTTTGTTCAAAGCAATACTCATTAGTAAGGCGGCAAATCTGAGGCAATAACAAATCCAACCTTTCTTTTCGGTCTGTGAGAAACCACTCCCGCTTATTGTAAATGTCACTATAATCGCCCGCATAACCCTGCCGACCCGGTCCCCTAACCCTTGACCTGACCCCCCTCCCCCTCCCGCCGTGACACGCGTCTCCCACCCGTCATAACCCCCAATTACCCACATTAGCGAGCGGACCGCTAACCGGCCTATAGCGTGTGTCCCCGCCCGGGGACCGCTCTAGATGACACATCATTGAACGTTCCCCACCCGCCTGAGGGCAGTTTGCTGCACACCACGTGACCCACGGGTGACCTCCGCGTGACCTCTGTTGACAATAGGCCCCGCCCACTGCCGGTGACGTAACCAGTTAAACCGGGGGCTAGCTCACAGCCCCACCCCAGAGATGACGTCGTCATAGCCAGCTCTCAATAGACACATCAGGGGCCCTTCAGTCCGTCGGCCCACGAACTGATGGATCGGGAGAGGCGGTGATGAGAATTTACGCCCGAACCCGCGCAACTACTAAGGTTATCTGTCCGTGGAGTGATGGATAGGCGCCAATCTTAATCTCGCTACCAATGAAGAGAGGTTGGGATGGTCAGGAAACTGTGTTTTATATAGGCTAAACTGCGTCTTTGAGGTCCAACGCGAGAGGAGAGGTCATATGTCGGCTCGGGAAAATAAGTGCGGAAGGAAGAGAAGCGACAAGGATACGAACCGGGGAGAGTTGGCCACGGCATGTTTATCACTCATTAGAGTTCGTCCACCGGTATCGATGGTCACTGGTCTGATTGCAGTTGTCTCTGTCTCAAAAGCTAGCAATGAACGACAAAAGCGAGCCCTGTTCTAGGCTGCCTACCCTTTGACAGATGTCTGATATATAAATTTCACCCAACTTCGGGGCTGCATCTGTTTCTACATGACAAGTGTGTTTCTGTCACCTTTATATTCTCATCAAGACGACTGCGACCAACGCTTCCTAAGTATCTCTGCCCCACAATAGCAGTGAGCAACAGTCGACAGCCGCCCTGACCAACCACCCGGCGCCGAGCCTCTGCCCCGCTGCCGTGACTCACCACAATCAGAGCGCACCTCCTCTGATTGAACTGTCAAAACAGAGGCATAACTCCAGCCGAGGCGGGCATACGGGAGAGCTCCGTAATTCAGTTAGTGATGGTAGCTCCGAAATTAGACAGTGCATTGACCACTGAATTGAACTGCTCTTCTTGTATGTATTGCACATGAGGTACTCAAGAATTAATTTACCATCACAGAGCCAGGGTTTTCCGTTCAATCTTCTTCATAGCATTAATATGCGAGTGCTGTTGTGCATCCAATACCCTATCGTTTACAATCCTCGCCCTTTGGCTGACCCCGAAGCAAGCCCCACCCTAAGCGAACCATTACTACCGTACTCCCAATGCCACCTAACGTTATCTGATGTGATCTCAGCCATCCCGCAACCTAAGATTCAGTCGTCCCGCGGCGGTTTCATTGCGTGGGCATGGTCCATTGCACTCGGCTGAACTCGCAATAGACAGCCCGCCGGCCGCGGCCGTGAGCGGCTTTACAAGGTCGCGGTGAGAGAACGGCGGGGCGGGGCGGGGCGGGGGGAAACGCGCCGGGGTGGAGATACTGCCATCTAGTGGAGGGAGGAGTAACCTTAGCTTCAGGAGCGATCGTGAGGAGCGCTGATGGATAACTAGCCCATTCTGCCTCACAGACTGGAGACAACGCAGAATAATCTCAACCCTGAGAGACGACTCCTCACAGAAACGAAAGAAACTCGAGCTGTTGGAAAAGCCAAGTCGACTCCGCACCACTCATCAACAAGACAATGCCGAGAAAACGTCTAGCCCATAGACTTTCATGCCTAGCTTACCAGTTCCATGGAAGATGCCGGCTTTGGCGGTGCATGGTCCAGCCCTGGCTTTGATGTCATCAGAGCCAAGAATGAGCAGGCCGCGAACATACCTTGGTATTTTGCCGACGTGCCCAGTTTTGGCGTTTCCATGACCTTACGTTTGTCATTGGGTAGGCAGTAGAGCCCAGTTTGGGCGTTTCCGTGGACTTACCTTGGCCATTCTGCCGATGAAGAGCCCAGTTTGGGCGTTTCCGTGGACTTACCTTGGCCATCGGGTCGGTGGGAGAGCCCAGTTTGGGCGGAACGGTGGGGGTCGGCACTGGCATGGGCTTCCGATGTCCATGTATGCTCGAGCTAGACGATAAACTGGAGACACATACAGACACAGGGGTCAGCTGGTGGGGTAGACATGGCGGTAAGGGAGAATATATTACGTCACAACACAGCCATGGAATGACAGTAGTGGCAAACACCCTGAGATGGAGTCTACGATGGAAACTATTTTCATATAGGTATATAGCACAGTTGATTACCTTCGCCTCAATGAGCATGTGGTGAAGAACAAGTCTCGTTTTTTTCTTACCTGGTTGAGTGTGAGTATATGAATGAGTTACCTCTCTTAGCTGGTTGAGTGTGACTATATGAATGAGTTATCTCTCTTACCTGGGTGAGTGTGAGTATATAATGAGTTATTCCTCTCTTAATTGTGTGAGTGTGAGTACATGGTGGGTTATATTTCTCTCATCTGGGCGAGTGTGGGTATATGGTGAGTTCTTACCTGGGTGCGAGTATACGGTGTGAGCTGATACCTCTCTTACCTGGGTGAGTGTCAATATATGGTGAGTTCTGCGTTTCTTACCTGGGCGAGTGTGAGTATATGGTGGATTTATGGTGAGTTCTGCGTTTCTTACCTGGGTGAGTGTGAGTATACGGTGAGTTCTCACCTGGGTGAGTGTGAGTATATGGTGAGTTATACCCCTCTTACCTGGGTGAGTGTGAGTATATGGCGGGCGTTCCTTACCTGGGTGAGTGTGAGTATATGGTGGGCGTTTCTCACCTGGGTGAGTGTGAGTATATGGTGGGCGTTTCTCACCTGGGTGAGTGTGAGCATATGGTGGGTGTGAGTTGTTACACCCCTCTTACCTGGGTGAGTGTGAGTATATGGTGGGCGGCGGGGTGGTTTTGACGGCCTCAGCCATGGTGAGCGGCCGGGCGGCTCCTCCCTCGGCAGGGGTGAGCAGCTCAGTCTCCATATCGTCTGGCGGCGGCTCGCTCGAGTCCAGACGGCCCAGCGGGCGCTGGAGCGTACCTGCAGGGAGTCAGAGTCAGAGTCAGGGCGGCTCACCAGCGGGCGCTGGAGCGTACCTACAGGGAGTCAGAGACAGAGTCAGGCGACTCACTGGAGTCCAGACGGCCCAGAGGGCGCTGGAGCGTACCTGGAGGGGGGATTGTAGTTGTCATGCTGATGTCATCTCTTGTCATGCCAACAGCTCTTCCCATTTCTTCCGCTATAGCTTACGCCGTAGTCTTCACCAGTCTCAAGGAATTCGCTAGTTTAACTAGACAGACCGAAGGATCTCTAAGCTCCATCGTTGATCCCCTCCCCACTCCCAACCCCATCCATCCTCCCTTCCAACACCCCCTCTAAACAGTCACTTCTCCCCCTCTCTCTCTCCACTCACTGCTCTGACTGGACGGCCTGGATGACACCTCCGAGCCCTGCGACACCTCCCCCTCCCCTCTTCCAACTCACTGCTCTGACTGGAAGGTCCGGAGGACACATCCCTTCCCTTCCCTCCCCCTGTATCTCTCCCCCTCTCCCCACTCACTGCTCTGACTGGACGGTCCGGAGGAGACCTCTGAGCCCTGCGCCGCCGGCAGGTCGCGCTTCATCAGCCGCCCCCAGGTGGCCACGTTGATGTTCATCTGTTTGGGACGCAGGATCGTCTTCCCCTTGTGCTTGAAGATCTTCCGCTGTCGCTGCAGCTTGGGCCGGCGCGAAATCATCGGGTTCAGGAATTTAATCTGCGGAGCGGAGAAAGAAAACAGGTTACCTTTGTAATATGCTGACACAGGGCTGCCAAGGTTGCAGGGAGAAGTGGTGCATACTCATAGACTAGGAGAGTAGCTCACATTATTATTCATGCATTGACTTTCAGTTAAAATGCAGTTTCGTCCAAGTAGAGCCTCCAGAAATGTGTTACATCTCAACAGATAAGGGCCCTGACCTCACTCAAATTTACACCAACAGAATATGTTCCACCGTTCCCCACCGAACCTTAGCGACAGTACCGTTCATAGCCCTCTGAGCAGTACCAGCACACTGTACTTCAGCGAAGAGGAGTCCCTCCCCTCCTCCAGGGTATCCCACTGAGCCAGTACACAGTACCTCAGCGAAGGAGAATAACTCCCCTCCCCCACGTTACCTCAGCGAAGAGGAAACTCTCCCCTCCCCCACGTTACCTCAGCGAAGAGGAAACTCTCCCCTCCCCCACGTTACCTCAGCGAAGGAGAATAACTCCCCTCCCCCACGTTACCTCAGCGAAGAGGAAACTCTCCCCTCCCCCACGTTACCTCAGCGAAGAGGAAACTCTCCCCTCCCCCACGTTACCTCAGCGAAGAGGAAACTCTCCCCTCCCCCACGTTACCTCAGCGAAGAGGAAGCTCTCCCCTCCCCCACGTTACCTCAGCGAAGAGGAAACTCTCCCCTCCCCCACGTTACCTCAGCGAAGGAGAATAACTCCCTCCCCCACGTTGTTACCTCAGCGAAGGAGAATAACTCCCCTCCCCCACGTTACCTCAGCGAAGGAGAATAACTCCCCTCCCCCACGTTACCTCAGCGAAGAGGAAACTCTCCCTCCCCCACGGTACCTCAGCGAAGAGCAGTCCCTGCGGCTCGAGCTGAAGCGCCATGCCGTCCCGAACGTCATCAATAAACTCCTCCAGACGGAGGAACTTGACGGCGCACAGCGAGCGCCAGTCGCGCCAGTAAATGTCCACCTGTGACGGACAGTCAATAGTCAGTCACCGGGGGCAGTCAGACATCAGCCACCGAGCCAGTCCACATTACAGCCCAGAGAGCGCCAGTCGTGACAATAGGTGTTCACATGTGAGGGCAGTCAACGATCATTCAATGAACCAACCAATGTCGGGGGCGTTACGAGCCACAGAGATTAAGAGAACTGAACAGCACGGAACGGTAGCACGTCTCATAAACATCGGCAAAAGGAAAATATAACACATGCTGGGGGCGCTCTACTGGCATGTGCTCTCCAACACACATGTTTGCTTCTCACGATTTTGTCCCACTCCGCACAACCCACCATCAAGAGTAACACATCAAACACAACAAAGATGAGGGCTGACAACGCACCTCGTCCAGAACACTACAAAGATCCCACGCCCGCCCACCCAGTGTTCCGAGCTGTACCCCTCCGGGCGCTCCTATCACGTACCTCGAGCTCGCGCGACTTGTCGAGGTCGATGGAGAAGCGCTGGTCCCAGGCCTGCTGGGAGCACGCCTTCCAGCTGGTCTGGCCCACCGCCACGTTATCCAGCTTCAGCACCGCCATAATCTCATCTGAACGACGGCGCGAAGGGGGGAAGGTTAGGAGCGTGGAAAGGGGGAGACTTCGTACAGCAAGATACGGCGCTGTATTGACTGACAATGATTATATTTAATGCGTTAGAGCATCAATAGCATAAAGCAAAAGTCACTGCTTATTATTGGAAAACAAATATTTTTACTGTCATGAAAGCAAGATCTAGGAAGAAATATAATTAGGCATATTATAATTGGTTGAGCTGGTTATTTAACGCAAAGCGGCACAAAGTGCACAATTATGTACAGAAGAGGTAGCAAATAAGAGCCATTTACAATGGAATTCATCGATGAGTGACACAAGTCAATTACTGCAGAAACATGAGCAAATTAAATGCGAATCACAAACAATTTACAACATAATGTTCCATACTAAGCATCTTTGATATGCACAATCAATTGCTCATGTAGCTGCAGTAATTGTCAAGAAAGTCCCCGAAAAGTGAAACCAAAGCGTGCAGTGCCGCATTTGTGCACATTTACAGTTTAAAAAGTGCAGTGTTCTGATCCCCAGCCTCGTGAAAGACAGACAGACCGAGAAGAAAACAGTGAAGAAGAGAGAGGAGGGGAGTTTCAGGCGCGGCCGCGCCAGTTCGCCGCGGCGCCCGCCAGCCGGGCCGAAAAGCCTGAAGATATTTTGAGCATCGATGGGTAAGAAATTGGCCAGGAATCGGCTTGACCAACATTAAGCTTGGCATCCTTTTGAAGGACGGGTGATTTTAGGAGACCAAATGAATTTACTTTAAAAAATGATCCAGAAATGTTGAATTGAAAAGAGCATTCAGAGCCACAGTATCCCAACGAGTCATAAATGTGTTTTCTTCTCCGTAGATTCGATAGCATTGAGTTAAGCTACGCTACCGCCGCCTGCCGGCGGGCGGCGCGGCGGTGGTTGCGTCCGGCGCCGCTAGGTGTCACCACTTACTGGAGGCGAGCTCGGCGGAGCGCGGCAGGCAGGGGTTGTTGAGGACCTGGCGCACCAGCCCCGGTGCTGCGGCACACGGCACACAGAGAGCGTGCAGACACACAGACACACACAGACTGAGACGGACAGCCCCGCTCATACATACAGACATACACCGCGGCAGGACGGGTGGGGGGTTGGATGAATGACGTAGGGAACAGTCGCAGATAATCACTTCGGGAGTCTTGGGACGTTCGCAGCAGGATGCTGGAAAAGAATATCAAACGAGGATGATCTATATTTCAAAGCTGAAGATCGTTTGACTCGCTTGAAAAGCACAGTCATTGTGTTTAGACGGACAGACCATGAGGATTGGGATGCGCAGCGGTGTCTCAAAGTCCGGTTAGTCACTTGGAAACACAGCACACCATGCCTGGAGCCTGGAGCGTCAAAACATTACCGGCTATGGACAGATGGCCAAGAAGAGACGAGTGCACAGTCACAAAACCCCACAGACACTATAAACTATCCCGGTTCATCAGCCCCCAATGTGCATTTACCGCTTGCAAAACTGGTGTCCCTGGTCTAAATATTTAGCATTTACATTGAAAAAAAAAACAAAAATCTGCAAATGAAGCCAAAAGTGAGCCTATATACAACTAACGGCAAGTGATCGCAAATGCGTAACACGGCCAGCTATCTGAATATAACACTGGATGATGATGACAACGAATTTCGTGCGTAAGTGGCGCAGCCAGCGTTTTGCTTTGTTACCAAACAGCGCCACAAGCGCTGTGCGGACGGCCAGAGACGCGTTATAAAGCATTAAAACAAAGCTATCAATGACGGCGATATGAGTCAGCCGAGCAGGATGCTCCATCGTTTGACATTAGTGAAGCGGCCTCTCGCCTCTGAGAGTTTGGTAGATCCAGGGACACCATGTTAGTATTCCAACACCTCGTAACCAAAACCATTCCCCCGTCCCCTCAGCATGCCCAGTCTCCGCAGGCACCCAGCTGAACCCATCGCCCGGGCCGTTCGTTAGCGCCGTGGCGCCTACGAGCCGCCGGCCGGCGGGTGACTCACTGCTAGTCTCGTCTTTGACGCTGTACGATTTAGACGAGGAGCGGCCGGTGACGCCCTTCATGAAGAAGCGCAGGTCGGACGGGCTGGAGATGCCGTGGACAGAGTCCCGCCGAGACCGGCCCGGTACTTCCTCCAGCAGGCCCTGGCAGCCGAGTAGACTGAAATGAGAGGTCAGGTCAGGTCAGGTCAGTAGAGAAAAAAGTTCCAAATCACTAATAACAGACCGGCTGACCCCCCATTATCGAGGCAGAAGATTGAGGTTATATCAGATAAGCTGAGGCATGTTTCGATAGTCTTGGGATAGACTAGATCATGTCACAGTACAGTCGCGCAGGCTGAGAAATGTAGTCACACAGCTAACACAAAGTCAAGTACAGGGACCCGCAGTTGCTTCTGTACACACTAGTATTTCAGCGTATTCTTTGCCTGTGACACCGTTGGAGGCGAATTGGGAAATGATTGTGTGCTTATTAAAACCACCATCTGAAGGGCTTTAAACTGATGTGCTACTCTCCTAATTCAGTGAACTTTTTATGGCTATATCAGCAAAACATTGTTTTCAGCGCTTTTTCCTGCCCCATTCCTTCTGAAACCTGGAACCGCTTATTCCATTTGCTCCTGCCATCTGACGATGGTCGTGCTCACTACTAGTTCCGGCGCTAGTTACTGCTCTAGTTTTGCACCCGGCACAAACTCAGGCGGCACCGGGCCGTGGCTCGACTAGGGAGGGTCGGACCGAGCCGACTGCCTGGGGCGCGGTTAGATCGGACGCCCTGCTGGGGAAGGGGACGGGAGTGAGGGGAGGGGAGGAGGTGGTCACGTGGTCCGTCCAAGCTCGCAGACGACCTGTCCTGCGCCCAGCCATGTTCCGTGATCCAAAATGGCACGAGAGCTGTGGAATGCCTGGAGGAGACGCTTCGAAAGCGAACTTCAGCAGCACTAATTTACCATATTCTGTGGAGATAAATGAATATTATCTTAATGCAGAAAAAAATTGTATGGCCAACTCACTCCAAGCTGTATAAGCTATATCTTTTTAAAAGTTGTAAATAAGATTATTTTTAGGGACTTATAGGTTTCGTATACACAGTGAATTGTATTACATTAAGCCGTTTCGCTGTTATGGTTACTAACTGAAGAGTTATCCTTTTTTCTCACAGGGAATGACAATACAATAACAATACGAATAAAACCAGACGTTTCGCACAAAAAAGTGCCTCCGTCAGTGGCAAGAAATAAGTAATTAGGCATACATGTTTTCTTTCGATAAAATCGATGAAGTATAGTTATCTTTACTTTTTTAAAGATATATTTCAGCAGTTTTTTAAGCACATCATGGAAGCTTATAAACATTTGTGTATTTTATCGGCAACCCGGCTGGCCAGATCGAGACGGTGCCGCATTTAGTTCTCATCGATGTTAAACCTATACACTTATTTTTCTCCACTGACAAAGGCACGTTGTTGTCCGAAACGTTTGGTTTTATTCGCATTGTTTTTATATTGTCATTGTCCGTGAGAAAAACATACTCATATGGACTGGTCTCAGTTCATGAAGAAATTGTTGCAAATTCATCAACACAGATAAAATGAATATTAGCCCTCACCACACATATAAGTAGAGGTAAGCAGACCGCGCCCCCTGTTTTTCACCAATAAATCGCGGCAAAGCGAAGGATTGCGACGATTCCTTGGTGCCCTGGAGTTAATCAATTTTACAACTTCCCTGAAAATTAAATAGCCCTTATCATTTTGCATCTTGTCTGAGAATTTTAAATCCCTGAACCAAATTAACTTTAACCTGTGATTATTTTTCTCAAGATCATGTCAGGCCAGAATAGCAATTGAAAGTCAGCGCACATCTTCTGTGTGTTTCCATAGTCATTTCGTGATTAGCAACGTGACAACATGTGAAATATAGTTACTATCTAATGTTTGTCTCATTGATTGTTGTGGGTGCCAAGGTCACGTGAAACTCAGGTTAAGGTCATTTACTTGAAATGATCTCGGTTAACTTCCTTAAATTTACACCTTTTTACTGTGGTCTTTAGGAAGCGTTGGTTTGAAATTTAGCACCCATTTTAGCATTTGAAAACTAGGCATACTTAGGTATCAGTTATAGTGCCTATGAAATATGTTGCAAGGCTGTAAGTGCTGGTTAACATTCTATGGATAGCCGGCAGAACGCCTAATGGGTGATCTGGCGTGACCCGTCCTACCCCAAATGCTTTGATACATCATCTTTGATCAAAGCAAGTGCAAATTCGGAGTCAGAAGCAGGCCAAGTCCCAGCAAACTTCACTTGCAGAAATTCTAGCAGGACCCAATTTTCCGTGCTTTTGGGTTATTAACTTGATCTGGGAGGTCAACCAGTGACCTAGGATCTCAGCATTGACCAGGACATAAAAGTAATTGGCTTTCTCTCGTCAGCGATGACCAGGACCCTCAAATCATCGGATTTCTCTCGTCACGAGCAGCTCGCTCTTTTTTATTTTTCAGCGAAGCTCTGGCTCTTTTTATCAAGGGCCGAATGGCTGAGGGTTTCTACGCCCCTCCGCTACATGTAAGACGCTGAAAAGAAATGCCTAAATGGGTGAGGGTTAAACATCGATTGGTTTTTAAGTGCCGAAGCCCGAAGCACTTTAATTTACTTCGATAGCAGTTTTTAAGACCAACGAGCTCGAATACTATAACTTCTTGCACAATGTAAGCACCACATAAAATGAATCGTAAGAGAAGCGGCTCAGGATTAAGGAGCTATGAGACACTTAATAAAAAAACGGCATAGATTAGAAACTGCACCTAACTTGCACTGGTTTTTAAACCTTTTCGTTGCAGACGGGTAGATTAAATTTTAGGATTGATTTCAGCTGATGCTCAAATGGAGCTATTCATTCGTTCATTCATGCGACCATCCAATTCCATTCATAAAAGAAGCCAGTGACAAAATTGTTCATTTTAGATAAGTGTGAAATACAAACTCTATAAAAGTTTAATGATACGGCAAATTTGACAGCTTTTATAATGAACAGACAAATAACTTTAACAAATGAAGGTTGAGAGCCCCAAATAGGGGAGAGTGAGATAAGATGAGCCAAGGGGCAAGTTTAGCCACCCCATGTTTCTCCTATGGCGTTAATTGACTTGAGCTTCCATGTGCCGTTCGCTTACGATGCTGCAGTCTTTCATGTGAGACGGCAACGTTCTCACGCTCAGCACCCGGTAACATGTGGTATCGCCCCTAAGACATGTTTTGCCTTTAAAATGAGATGGTTGTTATCTGCGGTGCATGGTTATTTTCCTTAGCGGGTGTCATTAATCGAAAATGGCCACGGATGGGGCAAGATGAGCCATTTTCACCTGGGGGAAGATGAGCCGGATAAGCCATTGTTGTCTCTGCTGTCGAAAACCAAACTGAGCTGCGCTTGTTCTGCTGAATAAAAATGGTAGGAAATTGTTTTTCTTTGTTGATTACACAAGTTGTAAGTGATTTGCAGATTATCTGAAGGATAAAATGATTTCTTCCGTGATAGAAAACTTGACGAGTTATCGGAAGGCTTTAAACAGTCACTTTTTGATGGAGGAAAAAAACTTTGCCATAAGTATGTATGCCATGGAGTAAATAAAAGAGCCCACTCTTCGCCGCGCCCGGGAAAAGAAGAGGTTCGCTTTTTCTAACCATGCTCAACTTTCCCCACGATGTGTCTCAACTTACCCCGCCCATGGGGTAAGATGAGCAACGTGCAAGTCGCAAGATGATTTTTGGCGTAGCCTTTCAGTACAAAAATAAGCGGTATGAAACATTTCTGGCCACCATTACATGCGCAAATGACCACTCTGTCCGTCCAACCCGTATACGCAGAAAAATGATCAGTAAGTTAGCCTGTAGCTTACGAAAAGCAAAAAGCGGCTCAACTTACCTCATTCTCCCCTACGTAACACAATTGAGGGCATTTTTTAGGCCATCACAGTATTTGTCATCAATTGTTGTTTGGGGGACTGGGGAGGGTGGTTACTGGCTCATAAACTGCCCCCCCCCCCCAAAAAAAAAAGAAAGAAAACGAAACCGATCATCCGCGAAAATAACTATTGAGCTCGAACCAAGTTGACGAATCGATTTATAGGTATGCAGGATGACTAACGATGCCACTTTTTGACTTCTTGTGTCAAATAAATTCCATCATCTGGATAGCACGTCATCATTCTATTTGACATTTTGCAACAAACGTATACTATTTGGCGCGACTAGCCTCATAAATGTTCTGAAACTAAAACCGTTTCTTCGCAATTAACTTGGACCACGTCATCCCAGCTTATGCACGACAAAAATGAAATAATGCTTCAGGTTCACTGGCCTGAATTCCAATACTTAAAGTTTACTCAAAACCAGTGTGGCTGAGGCACTCTTCGCTACATCTCGTGACGGCCACCATTGTGTTGCATTTTTTAGGTAAGCTATAAGTTACTAAAGAAAGGATTAGTGAGTGGGTTGAAAACAGCCCTCACCCTCCACCTCCCTTCTTCTGGAAACATAAGTAACCGAAAGATCTGGCGATGGTTTATCCACCTCCTCTGCCGCCGCGCTGCGAGGCCTCGATTCGTTCGGTATGTGGCTTCATGAGCGGTCCTCCCCGGAGGCAACGTGAAAGGTCATGGCCTGTATCAGAAATTTATACGTTGCTGAATATGTTTTATAGTTCTTCCAAGGCCTTGGACACCGTTTTATTATATCAGATAAGCATTGCACTTTCTTGTCAATCAATACATTTAAAGAAAACTTGATCATAATCTTATACTGCGACAATTGTAGTTCTGCTTATGGTTGCCTCTTTATGATACGGGCCACCACCACCTCCACTGCGCTGGAGCTCAGGCGTTCTACCCCTCCCCGCTACGGACCGGCCCTCGGGCTAGGTGTGTTAGTACTGAGCGCAAACCTGTAGTAGTCACGTGACTTTCATTCACGTAGCGGGAACGGAAGCTATAGGCGATACCAAGGACGGGCTCTGGGGAGGCAACCGGCGCGGAAAAATAGCACGATTGTAGTTTTGGAAGAATATCTGTTGCGGTAAGAGGAATTATACAAAACATACGTCCTAGGAGCAAACATGTGTTATTCCTCCATACTTTGCGCTACATTTCCTTTCTCCAATGCCCACCACTTAGCAAATAATAGCGCAATTCTAAATTGGTAATATATGTGTACAGTAGCAACTGCGGGTCCCTGTACCTATCTAAGCCGTCACAAAAGTCATGGAAGTCACGTTTTAAGGAAATTGCATCAACAAATACACACGCATACACAAACACCCCATCCCCTCTCCCCTCCCTCCCTCTCTCTTACCGGACTTCCAGTTTTCCGGTGACGGCGGCGGTTTTGACCACATTAGTGCTCGGTCGGTAGCGTAGTGCGCCCGGACAGGGGGCCGCCGGGGGCGTGTCGCGCGGCTCCACACTGCGCCGGAAGTTCTCCAGACTGGCAGAGTTGGTGGAGGGCGACTGCACCTGGTCCAGGTCCTCCTTCAGCTCGTCAGCCTTCAGTGAGCCTGATGGAGGGCAGGGGGGGGGGGAGTGATGGTGAACTTGTAGAAAAGGGCGGATGCAAGATGCTGAAAATGACACTGAAGTTGACTTCGTCACGAATTCAGAACGATAACTTATGCTACTGTAATCGGCAGAGGTGACGATAGAAACGAGTCACGAAAACTGTAACAAGCAAGAAGAAAAGGTACACACATTTCCACGAAATGGCAGGGGAGAGTTAGACGCCAGCCTTTCAATCCAACGATGACGAAGCAGCAAATAATGACATCAGATGGTGCCTCTGGGCAACTGGCTGAATTGAGCAGCAGCCAGACTGAAAACTACGCGTTTCAGAAAAGTACGATTCATTTTCTGCCACAGGTGAACGCCTTTCAACATCCACCATTTTTCGTCTATTCTACAGTTTTCCTCCACCATATACCCTCTTCAGTGCCGGTCAGGTAAAAACCGCACAGGTGGTCGCTGCTATAAAGGACCGGTCGGCAGTCAGGGACGGTCTGTCATCACAGGGGGCACAAAGACGCCCACCTGACAACTGGTCCGACACACACACACACACAGAGTCACACTCAGTACTCTGGGGTGCGGGACGGATCAGGGACGGATCAGGGACGAAAACACGGCAGGCTGACGGCTGTGTGACGCACTGTTGTGAAACTGAGGGCAGTCGCACAGTTTCACAATAGTGCGAAGCTCGCAGACGTCATTGTAGAGCACTGGGCGAGAGGTTGAATAAATTGCAATGGTGTAAAGAACGTTTCTAGTGACCATGCAAAGAAGATTCTCGAACAGCGTAATGGAAAATATTGATAAATGTTTCAAGCACGAGAGCTGAAATCAATCAAAGCAACTAACTCATAAGTTGTCCCATGACGCATTTGCTTCAACATCATAGACCCATTACGCCTCAATGCCACGCCTACTATTAAAATCGATCCCATTCCCCCAATACTATCATAAAATGTTGTCAAGTCATCTCCCGCGGACCCTAGCTCTCGTGTTTCCCGTTTCTCTCACCAGGTGGCAGCTCCTTCCGCCGTCGGTCCAGCGAGAGGCGGAGCAGGTCCAGCTTCCTGCTGGACTCCTGCAGACTCTGCTGCGCCTGGGGAAGGACGTGACGAACGTCAGGGGCGCGTCACAACTCATAGTGACACAGTGAAGGTGTTACAGCGCGAGAGGAGACAGTAACGCTGTCACGGGGAGGGGCTCAGATGTAAGAGGGAGACTGTATCCGACTCAATGTAGCTGAACTAGGGAGCGGTTCCATACGGTACATTTAAGCACGCTGAATGGTTGAGGACGTGTGTCAATAGGTGAGGGCAGGATGTAGATGCGCTCAGTGGCATGTAGCATAGTGGGTAGCATAGCGATCTTATCATTCTTATCATCTCATCACCCGGATCCCCCCAAAATAAATCTGATCACCCAGCGACACCTCACATCTCTGCAGACACCCCTCACCCCCTCCCTACCTGATCGTCTCTGGACGACCTCCTGAGCAGTATGGCCTTCAGCGCGGCCACGCGGCTCGCCTGGCCGGGCCGGTAGTGTCTCTCCTCCCCCTCGCCACCGCTCCCCGCCCCCTGACCCGGCCCCACGCAGCGTGCCGTCTCCATTAGTGATATAGAGCGCTGGAAGAAGAGGTGTTTGAGCACGCGCCGGCGCCGCCCCAGCTCGAGTAGCTCCTCGACGGAGCGCGACCGGCGCGGGGGAGGTTCATCCTCCATGGGCCATTCGTCCCCGCTGTCTGTTAGGAGCTCAGACTCCGAGTAGAATTCAGACTCGGATGAGCCAGGACCTGATGAGCTAGACGAGCCAGAGGAGCCAGAGGAGCTGGATGAGCCAGAGGCGGAGCTGGATGAGCTCTCGGTGGAGCTGGAGCTGGCCTTTCTCAGCGCGTGCTGCTGAGCCACGGAGCGCAGTGCCAGCACCGCCTGTTTGAGGGCGACCAGTCGAGTGGCCCGCTCCGAGTTAGGTGACAGACGCAGTGTCGGCGGCGCGGGCACCTCCAGTTTGGAGCGGTCCTTGTCAACCGCTGACCCGGGCTTCACAGAGGAGCGCACATCTGAACCCTCAGAACCCGCGCTATGCTCCTCCGTCACAGAAGTCCTCTCTGAATCTGCTGTCTTCTCCTCCACTAATTGTTCTTCACCCGGGCTCACTACCACATGTTCGTCTCCTGTACCGTCCAGCGTCTCAGCACTCCCATCCCGACCCCTCTCCGGCCCCTCTGTCCCCTGAGCTGTCCCCCCACCCCCACCCGCCACTCCCCCGCCCGTCCTCCGCACAGTCCGGGGTTTGTAGATGACCGTCGCAGCGCTGTTGGAGCTCGCCCCACTCTCGTCACTGTCGGAATACACGGCCTGAGCGTGTAGCGCTGACAGTCGCGGCACCAGATCGGGTAGGTCGTGAGATGACGGACGGAGTCGACGGGTCGGTAGAAGAGGGTCTGGGGGACGCTTAGAAGTCGCACCACCCTCCGCTGATGGGTTGGGCTCAGTCTCCGTCGCTCCAGCCACAGACAACTCAGACGTAGCCGCCAGTATGGACGCCTCACTACGAGCTTTTCCGGCCGCGCGGAGCCGCCGTCCCGCCGTCTTCCCACCGCCAGCCGCCGAGACATTGAACAGCGACTTGGACTTCCAGGCCGAGTGTTTGAACCGGGCGCGGTGGCGACCGTCCTCGGCCGGGCCCACGCGCCGTTTCTGGCGCACACGATCGACGAGACCGCGCCAGAATCCGCGCGCCTTCACCACGTAGCGGCCGTAGGCGTCAGACATAGCGGTGACCTGGGGCGGGTCAGGTCACTGGGGGTCACCAGAGTTTCTGATACCAGGCCTGACACTATCTCTGACATCGAAGTTCAGCAGCGTCTTCGACACAAGGCCTGTCCTGGACACCTCTGGCACCTGCAGAGTTCACCAGAGTCTCACTAAGCCACCGACTCTGATTCACCTGAGACCAGAGGTCCGTTCTCCAGCCTCTGACACAGGGTCTGTCTTTCTGAGACAGATGAAACCACAGCTCACAGACACCAATGACGATGTTCAGGTTCTTTTTTCAGGACACACTGACCGCAGAGGTCATCAGCGCCCTCACAAACACTCAGCTGTGTCAGCGGTACACCCGGTGTCAGTGTCACTCGATAGTGTCACAGCTGACAGTCTGGAGCTGACAGCTGACAGTCAGGTGACAGCTCGTAAACAGCGCGCTGTCGGCGACTCACGGTCACTGAGTGCCCTCACCAGCACCAGCGTAACAGTCACGCGCTATCCGTCCACACACAAGTATGATGCTTCACAGGCTCTTTGCCAACACGTCTTGTCGACTCCTGTACTGGGGATCAATCACAGGCTTCAGAACAAGACACCGTTTTCCTTTTCACTGTAGGTACCACTGTTCACCATAGTTCGTGCGCTACAACTGTTCTGATGCGCCACTCCAATTGTATCGTCACGCAGCGTTAGTTTGTTTCTTTTGGTTTTGTTTGTTGCCTCGGTTTGTTTCTTCTATCAGCCACCAGTCGGCGCTACTGCAGACCTGATGAAACCGGGGACAGCCCCTAGGGCAAAGAAGACAACAAACTGCACTGGTAGCCGGTCTGTTGTAATCCCGTCTCCTCATCTGTCGGGGACACAAGGTAGGTTGACTCGGAACAACGTTTATCGCTATTCACCACTCTCGTCTCCCTCTGCGCAGTCAGTTTTAACCACAGACACTCGTCAGAGTCCCGGACAAAGTCACTCTCCACTTCCTGCTGTCTCTCTCCTTCAGCTGACGAGCGGCTTAGACACCAGCCAGTCTTCCACAGACTATTCCCACGTCCACACACTATCACACCGAGTCCTCAGACTATCACCAAGTCCTCAGACTATCACATTAAGTCCACACACTATCCACAGCGTCCAAAGACTCCCACAGAGTCCACAGACTATCCCCGCGTCCACAGACTCTCCCACCGGGCGCACACTGCCCGCCTCTCAGCCCCGACCACCGACCACCGCTCGGCCGGCGGTAGAGCGCACGTGTCGACGGTACACGATCGATATCGAGTGCTCCGGCCCCGCGGCTGCTGCCGGGACAGCCGGTGTGGGCACAACACCTGTGGGGACGGCGACGCCGCCCACGACTGCAGACGGCATAGGAACGAGAGAACGGAAAAGAACGGCGGAACTGAGCCCGACACCAACGAAACGAATAGAGCGACTTTACCGAGCTTAGAGATCAGAGAACGATAACGAGGACGAAAATCAGTATGGCTAATCAATCCGTAATTCACAACACCATGTGATATGAAAATAGTGATTGTGTCAGTGGGATTAAACAGGAAATGTGTTTCTCTCTAGATACAATCACCGTATCCGCAGAACCATTTGTACTTTCAGTGATGTCGAAACATGTTCGGTACATGCAAGCACACAACTGGATCGCATGCCTCTCATTATATTATATAAGAAGACATGACAAGTCGCCCATCCATTGCTCCATTCTAGAGGCGTCAGTAGGCTCCACCTACAGAAGGCGGTGTCATCAGCACACACCATGACATGGCTCCGAACTGAGTGGTAGGTCCCCGCGCCAGCTGTGACCCCCCCCCCCCCCCGGCTCAGGTGTCTGGGGGGGGGGGGCGGTGACAGCCAGGGGGTGACTCACACTCTGGCGGGGTGGGTGGTTATAATAAACAGGTGATAACCGGTCAAAGGTCAGGGTGAGGGCTAACAACGCAGCAAGGAAGGATCTTGAAGTCATGGTCATCAATGAAGACTTAAAACCCTACAGTGCAGGATATATTTTGAGCAGCAAATACAAACCATCCAACGACCATGGGTAGCGCCTATGCTTTAGAACAGCACAGGAGTGCCAACACAATTCATTACATGCCCCGCACAATTTGTTACCTACCACCAGCGTGCGAAATCCCAAAACAGCATGAGAGCTGCCTTTTCTATTTCTAGAAAATTTCTACCTTTCAGATTCAAAGGTAGGAACCTGGCAGTGTTAAGCTCCTGCAAACTTTCAGTGTAGAGCTCTGATCGACAGATGGAAGTTCCGCATAGACCTACGGTGAGCTACCACTAGCCCGTGGTAAACTCAGCAGGTTTTTGGCCAGAACGGCAGTCGCACAAGGAACACTACGTAGTGGTCACTTCACAATCAGTTTCGCTTTCTGACCCTCCGGTCTGTCGGTCCCACCGATCCCTGTGATCCTCGCGGTCCCGGTCTCACGGTCCGTGGTCCCGTCGAGGACCGCACGGTCTCCCGGACCAAACTACCCCCAGACGGAGACACAGGGGAGTCCTTCACGGGCACCCAAAATCCATCACCACCCTCACACAACACAGACACCGAGCGGAGGTCAGATGACGTCCTGTATAGAGCCCTGTCCGCGCCACGGCGCATCGGCAGGGATCTGGCAGGGGTGCGGTTTCGAGGGATCCTCTCTTCATGGTAGCACGCCTCCAGAGACCGGCAGAGGTTGGAGGTCGTCCTCCGCAGAGGCTTCTGACCTCCCGACTGGGGTGTCGGTGGTAGCCTGAGGTCAGAGGTCGTCCTGTGTAGAGGCTTCTGTTTGCCCTCTTTGATGTCAGATGTCGGTTTCGCCACTGACCTCTGACGACCTGTCCTGAGGTCAGAAGTCGTCCTTCCCAGTGATCTCAGTTGTCCCTCTCTGAGATCAGAAGTTGTCCTGCGCAGTGACCTTTGTTGGTCTTCCTTCAGGTCAGAAGCCGCCCTCTGTAGTGACCTCTGCTGTTCTCTGAGGTCAGGTGCCGTCCTCTGCATTGACCTCTGTTGACCCTCCCTTAGGTCAGAGGTCATCCTGTGTAGAAGCTGACCCTCTGCAAGGTCAGAATCCACCCCGTGCTCCATCTGTCCAGGCGTACAGCACCTCTCGGCTATCAGACCCCCGCGACCCCTCCTCCGTCCCCTCCGGGGGGAGCGGGACGCGCTGAGTCGCTCTCCCTCCGTCCCCTGACCTCTGTCACGGGCCACCCGGCCCCGGTCGGCCACTAGGGCTCCCTCTGATGGTACAGACAAGGTACCGGGAGGTAAACAGGCAGCTGGCTGATCTTCGAGCGTCGCCTCTGGCGCCTCAGCTGTAGG